AAGGGAATGCCCTACCACAGAAGGGGGTGCGGTGGGGGGATGGGGTTTGGGGGTAGGAGGGTTATTGGGATCATTGGTGGTGGAGAATGGGCACTAGTGGAAAGATGGGTACTCGATCATTGTATAACTGAAACCCAAGCACGAAAGTTTGTAAGTCTACAACTGTACCTCATGGAATTTCACTTAAAAAAAAAAAAAAAGCAGGGCTGGAGTGATCGTACAGTGGGAAGGGTGTTTGCCTTGCACGCGGCCCACCCAGGTTCGATCCCCAGCATCCCATATGGTCCCCTGAGCACTGCCAGGAGTGATTTCTGAGTGCAGAGCCAGGAATAACCCCTGAGCATCGCCAGGTGTGACTCAAAAAAAAAAAAGATAAAAGCAGAACATCATTCATGATGAGAGAAATGAGACTGTTAAGGATAAACAGCAAAACACATGCAGAATCTGTGCTCTGATAAGTGCACGATGCTGAGGAAAGACATCAAAGATGACCCAAATGAAAAACGACAAGCCACGTTCATGGGTTAGAAGATTAAGCAAAGCAGAGATGTCAATTCACCCCAGACCCATTTATTTATTAAACAGAAGTCCTTTCATAGACACAGGCAGGAAATACCCCAAAGCACAGGTCCAACATTGCAAAATAAAGGGGAAGAAGTGAGTGTTTGATCCAAAGGCTGATCTCAGAGCAAACACGACCAACACGTGTTGGATTGGCAGGAGAGATTTATTGTCAGTGTAAGCAGAATTTGCCCTCCACAACTGCCTGTTGCAAATACACATAGGAAAAAAGCATTTTAGAAGATAGTGAAAGGAGGTAAAGTGATACACATATGACAACCCTTCAGTAACAGTCTTATATAAAAAGTGTGTGTGTGTGCGCGTGGTCATGTGTGCACGCGCGTGTGCGAGGGGGGGCAGGGGGAGGAAGGTCTGCCAGGGAGCCAGGTGTGGGGGGTAGGGGAGGGAAACTGGGGATACTGGTGGTGGAAAACATACACTGGTGGAGGCTTACTGGGTGCTGGAACATTGTATGACTGAAACCTAATCATGAACAGCTTTGTAAATGTGTCTCATAAAAATAAAAAAAATAAGATAGTGTTGGAACAATATTCTATCCACAGGCAGGGAAAAGAACCTTATCTCACCCTAAATCTTACACCTCAAACAAAAATAAACTCAGAATGGGATCAGATGACAAAACTTCTAGATACAAAAGTAGAAAATTAAAAAAAAAAATAGGAGAGGCTTGCTTTTCCAGCCAACACTCTGCCTTGAACATGAATCTCGCTTACTTGCCTGTTTCTTTGCTTGCTTATTTTCACTCTGGAGAAGCCTGTGTTCTCAATGATGTACTTCACTCCCCTCACATCTTTCTCAAAAGTTTCAATACAAACTTTCTTGCTCACCCCATAGTCAAAAGAAATAAATAAATAAAAATAGGGAAATTTCCAGTATTCAGGGGTAGGCAAAGAGTTCTTGACTTGATCCCAAAGAATGATCTACAAAGGAACTGATAACCTCAACCCATCAAAACGAAAAATGTCTGTCCTCTAAAAGACAAGATGTTGAGAGGACAGACAGAGTAGCTCCATGGGAGAAAAGAACTGCAAACCCAGTATCTGACTTGGACTCAGATCCTCGTAAGAGACCACTGATAAGCTCAGTGACCGAACACCTGCCTCATACATGTGAGGCCCTGGGTTCCACTCCAGCATCACAAACTCAATAAAAAAAATCAACAATCTAGTAGGACCAGAGAGACAGAGTTGGGATTAAAGCGTTTGTCTTGGAACCCACCAGCCCCCAGGATTCCAACTGTCCCATACCACATATGGTCACTCCTAAGCAGAGAGCCAGGAATAGTCCCTGAGCACTCCTGGTGATGGCCCAAAACAACAACAACAAAAAGCAACCTAATCTGTCCCAAGAACATAAAAACACTAATTTAAACAGATATTTGCAGGGCCTGTGAGGGTTCAGCAGGTAAGACACTTGTTTGCTTGTAGCAGACCTGTGGTCCATCCCCATTAGTGAGTCAGGTTCCTGCAGCCCCTCCAGGAAGGATTCCTGAGTGCAGAGCCAGGAGTAAGCTTTGAGCACAGCTGGGTGTGGCCCCAAAACAAAGAAGCGAAAAGGATGTATGTTCAATATATACACTCGCTGCAGTATTGTCTATAAAAGTCAAGATCACATCTAAGGATAGATAAGTGGATGAAGATGTGGCCCATCTGCGCAGCTGAGTACCATCCAGCTGGTACTCAAGGAGGAGTTTGTCTTTTTGCTATGAAATGATTGGGACGGGAGAGGAGCACACTAAGTGAAATAAGTCAGAAGGAGAGAGACAAATACCGGATGACCTCACTCATAGGTGGGATGCAGGGAAACAAAGCAAGGGAAGAGACACTGTCCAACAAAAATAAAGCCTTAGGGTCTGAGCACAGACCTGGGGGTGTGGGGCAGGCAGGGAGTGGCTGAAAGAGTCAGGGTCAGACAGGCTGTAGGGAGAGGTCAGCACTTTGCTGGTGGGTGCGGTATAACACTACACCCCCCAAAAGAAACAATGACAGGCCAGCAAATCGGCGTTACCTCAACTAAAAAAATTAACACAGCAAGCAGCCGAGCAGAAAGCAGGAGGAGACAGCCATTGACAAGAAAACAGAGAAAACAAGTGCAGGAGTTAACCGAACAGCTGAGAGGCTGCACACCATATACCTCTGGGCAGCTGAGACAAGCAGGGCGAAAGCAACCGGATCCCTGATCCTGCATGCACAGTGCCAGGGAGAATGTGCAATGGTGTGGCCGCTCTAGAAACAACTTGTGTTGTTTTGGGCCAATTCTTATAAAACCAAATGTGCACAGGAAAGGAGAGATAGCACAGTGGGTAGGGCACTTGCCTTGCTCGAGGCTGACCTGTGTTCCATCTCCGGCATATGGTGGGGTCCCTTGAGCCCCACCAGGAGTGATCCCTTAGTGCAGAGCCATAAGTCATGTGGCCCCCTAAACATGCAATTCCCATATAACCAACCAACAGTACTCTCAGGCCTTTTCCCAGATGCACGAACAGGAAGGTTCATACAAAAGCATGCGCATGAGTATTTGCTAACAGGGAGACGTGGGAAAAGCCCCAGAGGTCCTCTGACAGGTGATGGTTAAGCAGTTCACTTCATTATGGAAGATTTGTGGCACAGGCGCTCTTCAGTAATGAAATGGCACAAACAATTGATTACTCATAGAGGCAACACTTGGTAAATCTCCATGGAATTAGGCAGAGTGACTATTTTTTTGGGGGGGTGGGGTTCACACCTGGCAGTATTCAGGGCTTACTTCTGGCTTGACACTTAAGATCACTCCTGGTGAACTAAGGGGACCATATGTGGTGACGGAGATGAAACTCAGGTCGGCCATGTGCAAGGCAAGTGCCCTACCCGGTGTACTATAGCTCTGGTCCCAACAAAAACCAGTTTTAAGAGACCACATTCTACAGGATATCATCACTAAATATTCTTAAAACAACAACAACAACAAAATGTGGGGCCAGTGAGACAGCACAGGGGTCAAGGTGCTTGTCTTGCAAGCAGCTGACCCCAGACCAACACAGTCCTGAGCACAGAGCGGGGAGCAGCTAGAGCACCCCACCCCCACCCCAAGAGACAACCAAACGGTGGCCTCGGAGAACACACAGTCTCAGCAGGCTCAGGGAGGAGACTGGGGGAACGTTCTCCTCACACTGTCTCACTGTCTGGATCTCGCTGGGGGCGGGTGGGTGAGGAAACCGGTGCAGGAGACCCGGGATCTGCATTTACAACTCGCAGGTGCATGCGACGTCACAATGATCTCAGAATCAAGACGAGAGGCGAGAAAAAGACTAGGCTCCGTTCCCAGTTTTTGGTTCCCACATGCTGGCCAGGTCACTGAACTCAGTGGACTTCAAACTGAGGCCTCAGCTGCCCCCGCCCCCCCCCAGCCTCTGGGATTTTAAAACTTTTCCACGGCCCCTTTTGCCTAAGCGCGAAGCACCAGCGGAGACCCTGCGGAAGGCCGTGTGGAAGGCCGTGTGCAGGCAGGGGTGTGGGACAGGGGCGGGCACACACGCCGCCACCGGGTGCTTGCTTGAAAAACAGGGACACCAGATCTGGACCCAGACGTAATTGCGGCTCACACTGCGGACCCCGGTCGGCCACCGCCAGCCTGCCTGCGACTCTCCCAGCATCTTCCCACCTGACCTGTCCAGACAAAGACGCGCGGCGGGGCGCGGGATGAAGTCACGGGCAGTTAGAAGGAGTTTAGTAGGAAGTCACCATTTAGTGAGAACGCCGCGAGGAAGCGAGGAACCTCGGGGAAAACGCATCCTCCCTCTTTTTTGACAGGGAAGCCGGTAAACGGGACCGCTTCCATCCATGCCTTGGGGGGCACGGTCAAGACCGCGTTTTCCAGAAGGGACTTCGGACAAACGCCTTAGCTTAAGATTCGAGGTTCCTCAAGATTTTTCCGCCTGCCTCCCCGGCTGAGAGCGGCGCTGGGCGCGCGCCAGGCCCTTCCTGCTCCCCGGCCCCGGCCGGCTTGGCTTCGGGAGGTCCGGGCACGCGGCGAGGCTCAAGCGCGGCTCGGGCGGGGCCGGCCGGACCCACAGATGCCCCTTGACGGGCCGGCGGGCTGAATCACGGCACCGGCCTTTCAAGTCTCGGGAGTCGGGGCCGGGCTGACTCAACGGCGGCGTTTCAGGGCGCGAGCAGGGGAGAGACGTCCTCTCCCTCAGCGCCTTCTCGGCCCTCGGTCCTCACAGAGCCCCCCGCGGCACCACCGACGCTGACGCTCGGGCGGGGGGTCGGTGCCTGGGCGGGGCCGGGGCGCGGGGGCGCGGGGGGACCGGCCGGACGCCGCCCCCTCCCCCCCTCCCACACACACACCGAGCCCGGAGCCGCTCGGCCCGGCTGCCCGGTTCGGCCCCCCGCCGGGCCCGCACCTGCGCCAGGGGCGCCGCCGCCGCCGCCCCGCACCTTGAGGATGTTGTCGAAGATGGTGTCGCGGAACTCGAGCAGCGCCTTCTGGTCGAACTCGCGGCCGTGGATGATGCGCATCTGCTTGAGGAACGTGGACTTGCCGCTCTCGCCCGCGCCCAGCAGCAGGATCTTGACGAGGCGCCGCACGGCGCGCCGCTCCCGCGCCAGCCCCGCGTCGATGTCGCGGCTGCGCCTCCGCGCCTCGCGCTCCGCGTCGCGGGCCCCGCCGGCCGCCCGGCGCTCGCGGGCCTCGGCCGGCAGCAGGCAGCGGCTCAGCGTCCGCACCACCCCGGACATGGCCGCTCAGGCCGCCGCCGCCGCCGCGCCGCGCCGCCGCCCGCGCGCCATGGACCTCGCCGCGGCGACGCGACGCGACGCGAGCCCCGCGCGGCCCCGGCCGCTCCCTCAGGCCGCCGCCGCCGCCGCCGCCGCCGCCGTCGCCGCGCCGCCGCCGCCGCCGCCGCCGCCGCCGCCGCCGCCGCCGCCGCCGCCGCCGCCGCCGCCGCCGCCGCCTCCGCCACCCGAGGCCGCAGGCCGCGCGCTCCCGGCCTCCGCTCGGGCGCGCGGGGGGCGGGGCGGCACCGCCCGCGACGCGCGGATTGGCTCGGCCGCCGGCCGGCCGGCCGCGCCGCGCTCCCGATTGGCCGACGGCGCGCCGGGAGGCGGGCCTCGCCGCTCCCTCGGGGCGGGGCGGGCGCCGAGCGAGGCGGGCCCTTCGGGGTGGGGGGCGCCTCTCATTGGGCGCCGGGCCGGGCGTCCTTTCTTTAAGAATGAAAGGGAGGCGGGGCCGCGGCGGAGGCGGAGCGGCCGTCCGCCGAGGAAGCTCCTCATTGCTCGAGGGCCTCGTCGCTCCCGGAGGACGCTCCTGCGGTTGGCAGTTCCCTCAGACGGGGCGGGACCAGAAGTGCCAGGTGGACAGAAAGAGTCGCCCGGGGTTACCCGGGACCGGGTCGACCCGGGAGGCTGCGGGCTCGCCGAGTGGCCCCCGCGGTGGCCGGGCGCTGGGAAACGCAGTCAGGGGACGTGTGGGAGCGGGAGGGTCCGGCCGCCCATCTCGGAGGTCCAGAGAAAAGCTGTTCCGGAGCCATTTTCCTTCCCGAAGCCCTGGAGGGAGACGGATCTGACACGCGTCTCCCCCCGCCCCCCCCCCGACTGCTGTCCTCAGGCTGCCTGAGCACCGAATTCACCTCAGCAACCAACCTGTAGTCACGCCCCCTCACTTGTAACAGGCTTCAACGTCCCGACCCCCCATTGTTAGTTCTGTTTCCTCGTCTGTAAAAGCCTGAGGAGAGAGGCTCACTTTCCTCACATCTGCCTTGAACCACCCCCCTGGGCAGGCGAGCTCAGGTGGCTCTTAATCCCCAGGTGAGCAGGATTTGGGAACCAAAAAGTCTGTAAACTATAAAGCCAGACATTCAAAGGTGTCAAGAGTTTACTTGAGCAAAAAATACGAAAGAAGAAAAATGCTTCTAGCTGAAGTGCTAAACGGGAAGCTCTTGGCAGAGGGAGATCCTGAGAGACCTGGATGAGAGTGAGGAAGCAAAGAAGAGAAAGGATGAGCGACTGCAGCTAACCACCTTCCTGCTCCTGTGAGGGACTCTGGCCACTGTTTCTGGTTTAGCGCCTGCACGTTGGTCAGACCCTACCCGGGTCTTCTCAGCCTGAGGGCCTGAGTGTTTAGTTAATGTAACAGATCGGAAGGTTCTCTCAGCCAAGCCCTCCTGCACCCAATAAAGAGTAGGTTCAAGTCCAAGCCCCGGACTATGGCAGCCAGGATCCGTGGTCGCCCTCACCTCCCACCCTAGAGGTAACGACAAGAAGACGATGCAGGAAGCCACTTCCATTCCGCTACCAAGCATGCTTCGTACCACCCAGCAAGCACAGGCCTGGTGAATCTGGGTCTGGGAAAGGGGCAGCCCCTGGACACAGAACGCTATGGGTGACTTGGGAGCTTGGGTCCTGTAACCTGATGGGCCTCGCTTCTGAGTTTCTGTGGGCACTTCCACTGCCGGACGCCCACTCTGATCTGCTCTCCCAGCAGGACATGCCCCTGACGGCGGCTAGACGCTGGCGTGAACAGGCTGACCTCTGCGCAACACAAGTGACCATATATGACTGAATCATATAACTATATCACTGTCACCCCGTTGTTCATCAGTTTGTTAGAGCGGGTGCCAGTAACGTCTCCATTCATCCCTGTCATGTGCTAGTGTAGCCCGATGGCATATTGGGGACTCTTTCAGGGTCAGGGGAATGAGAACCATCGTTGTTATTGTTTTTGGCATATCGAGTATGTCACGGGTAGCTTTCCAGGCTCTGCCGTGCGGGTAGGATACTCTCGGTAGCTTGCCAGGCTCTCCGAGAGGGATGGAGGCTTTTGGGGCAGACTCTAAAGACTGAAATGTAATCACGGAAATTTATAATTATTTCCCAGTGATCCAATAAAATTTATTATTTCTTTTTTGCCTTTTTTTTCTCGGTCACACCCGGCAATGTTCTGCACTCAGGAATTGTTCCTGGCGGTACTCAAGGGGCCATATGGGATGCTGGAATTTGAACCCGGGTTGGCCGCGTGCAAGGCAAATGCCCTACATGCTGTGTTATGGCTCCAGCCCCGATCCAATAAAATTTATTAAACAATAAATAAATTAGGGGCTGGAGCGATAGCACAGCAGATAGGATATTTGCCTTGCACGCGGCCAACCCGGGTTCGATTCTCAGTGTCCCATATGATCCCCTGAGCACCACCAGGAGTAACTCCTGAGTGCAGAGCCAGGAGTAACCCCTGTGTATTGCCGGGTGTGACCCAGAAAGAAAAATAAATTAATTAATTAAAAACACAAGTTTGTCATGCCTTGCATGGTGGTCAGCAGCTGCAACGTCCCCACTCTTGGCTCCTCACTTGCCCTCTTCAATGCAGCAGGGAGGGGCATGTGGAGATTATCGGAACAGAAGAATCCAGGTCCCAGGAAACTCATATAACCTGTCAGGGGAAGTGCGGCTAGGAAGTGGCAGAAACCTGAGCCAGCAGGCGCCTGGGAAAGGGCCTGGGAGAGTTCGCTGTGCCCGCTGGAGCCAGTCATGTGGCCCCACTAAGACTTGCCCTCTTCCTCTGCCAGGATGCATAGGGACCATGTTCTGCGTCTACCAACACAAGCACCAGCACAGGGTGGACATGCATCCATTTCTAACTTTGGAGTTCAGGTAAATGGTGCGGTGATGAAAGAACAATATTCAAGACCTGGGGAAAGGCCAGCTTAACCAGGTGCAGGCGGAGTCACAGAGATGCACTGGCACAGAGAAGTGGGCGCAGAATATGCCTGCAGGGGGTGATCCTGAGCTGTACAAGCTGGCACAGGGTGTGGGGGGGGGGCGGGGGCTGCACCTAGAGAGGCATCCTGACTGAAGTTTGTTGAAAGGGAAGAGCCAGGCGGCCCTTTCCTCATGGGGTGTGCAGGGGAGTAGATCTTGCTCAGCCCAGAGCTGGGGCCCTCATGGTGGGCCCCTGTGCTGGCCTCTGGGTTCTCCCCATGGGGCTTCCCTACCTTGGGAGGCAGGAGGCAAGAGGGCTGGGAGAGCCTCGGCCCTGGGCACAGGCCTGTCAGCTGCCACATTGGGACTTCCCCTAAGCATTTTCCTGGCACCTCATCTTTTGTCATCCCAACAGTGTCTGAAAGCACTCCCTGAAAGCCCAAGAGAGCAATACTGGCAAAGGAAAAATTGAACGGGTTTCAGGAAACCTAAGTGCAGAGAGAAGGTGCTAAAGCAGGATGTCTCAGGCAGCAAAAACAGATGAGAGTTTTACGCCAACACCACCACCATCACCGCCACCATCTTCACTACCGTTGCTTACACCATCACCATCACCACGGTCATCAGCACGATCGCTGTCACTACTATCACCACGACCTTCACGACTGTCATCACTGCCTCCACCACCACAGGTACCCCAACGCCTCTTCATTACCATCACCTGTACCCCCAACCAGCACTGCCACTATCACCTCAACTATCGTCACCATCGTCACCCTCTGTAAGTGTCGTCGTCATCCCACCTTGGAGAACTGGTTACAGCGTAAAAGACATTTTACAACAACAAATGATGCATGTGGAAAGTTTTTAGTAGAAGAGAGAATTGAGAACTGTTGAACACAAGAGGAGAAAAACTGGAAGAGAAAGAGAAAGAAATAGCTCAGAACCCAGAGGAAAAATGCACTAAGAAACAGAAATTCTGAGTCAAGGACGGGAGAGTGACTTGGGAGTGTTATGAGCTCCCAAAGGAGAGGTGAGGACAGGGAGACTAATTTTCTCCTTTCATAGTGAAGGAGATCAAACCCGCAGAGCAAAATGCTTTATAAACTGCCCAAAACTAGTTGTACGTTTCTGAAAGAGTCCCAAGCTGAGGAGGCCCCGTGAGATGGAGTCCCCGGCAGAAGCAGACATCGGGGAGAGAGCAGTCGTCCATTCTGAGAGTGTTTGCTAGACTTTGTAAAGCCCCCTGTACACTCTCCTTCTCCTGGTTACAGGTGAGGGACTGCAGATGAATTGGAAGACCACCCAAGGTAGGAATCTGACAGAGCAGCACAGACACGTAGCCCCACAGGCCTAGGCCTTTGGTGAAAGCGTGAGAAGTAAAATCAGCAGCGTGGACAGCAGTCTCAGCAAGGAAAGCTCCATGGAAAGAGAGTGTCACCAGACACAGGACACAACTGGCATCAAAAACAAAAGTCAGCCTAAGCACAGGCCGCAGAATCACACTCAAAATCTGAGACACGGGGCCAGAACATTAGTACAGCAGAGTAAGTGCTTATCTGGCATGTGGAGGACCCGCGCTTGATCTCTGGCACCATGTAGGGTGCCCCACCCTCTCCAGCCCCTGCAGGGTCAGACTGGTGGGGTCCAGGCTCATTTCCACCGTGCATGTCTGTGGGGGCACCGATGCTAACAATCAGTGCTTGGGTGCCAGTGGGCTGTCTGAGAGGGTGTCCAGTTCTGAGACCACCGATTCAGCAACACAGCCACGGGGAAGGGGCTCTGTCCACACACCTCCCTCTCTGCCTGCAGCCAGCCCTGGAAGGAAATCCAGGCTTCCCAGAACCCACACTGCGCATCCCAGGGCTTTCCTGTAATGGCACACAGACTGGAGGTGACTCCTTTACTGCACATTTCTGCAGAGTCTGCAGGGAATCACTCAGAAAATGCCCCATGGAAGGGAAGTAGAAGGTCAGGTATGGGGAGAGGGCCTGCGGTCATTTTCTCCAAATTCCACAGGTTTCCCAGCCCCAAGAGTTCTTTGCACCCCAAGAGGTCTGCGCAGAGGGAAGGTTGCTGAGTCCTTGGC